GAAGCATTGTCTGGCGCGTCTGCCTCCGCGACCCGAAAGGAGAAGCGGCGATGGAAGATGAAGATGAAGAAAACAAAAATTAATGGTAAAGTCTTTGAGAGACGTTCTTCGAGCAATAAAACAAGAAAGGCTGATAATCATGATTATGACACCCCTGATGGCATAACTATTGAAGATATTTACTAATTCTGCTTCACTTTTGTTGAATCCAATTCTTAAAGTTGCGCCTGTTAGGGCTGAGCGATAAATGGATCCAACTAAGACGGCTCTGAACCGTGACCCTGAGACACAACAAACGTTTAGCGGAATAGGTAGTATGATTCAGTGTGTGAGGCAAGGCCTTTTGAGTTGTGGATATATAGTGCAAAGAGTACCACATCGTCGAACTTGATTGGTCTAAATGAGAAGAAATTATATGCAATTAATCGATCAACCTGAAGGTGTTAAAGTACAACGAAGCCGTAATCTGTTAGAACTAACTCAAGTATACCACAAAGTAAAGTGATGAGGGAAGTGCCATTACAGTCGCAGAATCGCATAACAGCACTCCTGGCCACGGTCAACAACGCAATGCTTCTCCCTCCCACGTTACAGATTGAAGAAAGAGCCACACTTCGAGATAGTTCAACTGATTCACACCATAACTCCAAGATTCTAGTGATATCAACTCTAGGAATGAACTGATGCGGAAAATCGCGGCGACATTCTTTAATTGCTCTATGTTTTGTTAAATATCTTCATTTTTTCTTTCGTGCTTATCGCAGTGCCGGAACAACTGAAAGGTAGACAACGGCGTTTGTCTGTCATAGCGATAAATTTTGAATATCTGAATTTGAATAACCATTTCTAAGCCAGATTGGTTGAGGTTAATATTTCTGTTTTCTAATACTGAATTTCATACGCTAATTCTTATTCTACACGACTACAGTATTTTATACTTAACGACTCACTGATTAAGGAGTACAACGAGGATCAGTGAAGCTGAACTAGCGTAAAAAATTACTACTCTTCTTTCGGAACTTCAACTACGCTCCTGCTTATTTAATTAAAGTAATGATGTTTAATGTTTTATTTTTCACAGGAACTCTTTGCACTATTTGCCAACAGCA